TGTAAGAATTAGTTCAAATCAAATATTGAGTAAACGTAAGTGATAAAACTACTTGAAAAGAAATGCCTTAAATTAAAAAAAAAAATTACATGAATTATAATAAGTGTAATAAGAGAAATTATTTGATTTGGAAGACTGTTATAAAAGAAATAAAATGTAAAGTGGTCAATATGATACTAAATGGCGATCGATGTTAGAAAAAAATAATTAAAAGTAAAATGATCAATAAAAAAAATAGAATTTGAAGTTCATAGAAAATACAAAGGGAACATCTGGAAATGTATTATTATTATATTTCTTCGAAGTTAAAGTTCAGGCGGTTCAATTTCATAAAAACTATAACAACTGTATAAGGATAAGAAAATAATCTTTTGTGTATATGAGAGCTATAAAATAATGCCTGCCTTAAATGTTAACCTTCAAAAGATAAAAGTACAAAAATAAATGAGATCTGTAAGAAGAGTTTGTCATATGAAAGGCAAAACGGCGCAACTGTGACAAAATATGATACGATTCAAAAGAAAAAAGATAACGGCCGAATCTATACTGAAAAGCAAAGAAAAATAGTAACACACACAGCACACGAAATCCACTCGATTACAGGAGCCTTTCTTTGGATAGTCACATAACAAATGTGGCGAGATACAATTTGTTTATGAGCCTCTCTTTTTTTACCCAAACGGAGACAGGTTTTTCAGTTAACAAGCAGCTTGATTCGTATAAGATTGACGTGGCGCAGGACCTGTTTACCTTTCCGCAGCACCTAAGATCACCATAAGTTATAATTTAAAAGAATTCGTGTTGGTCTTGCTTGAGTGTTGTTATCTGTTCTTTTTATTTTATTATTCTATATATTTTTTCTAATAACTTGTACCAGTCTTGTCTATCCTTTTATTCTTGTCATGAAATACGTTTTAATTTGAAAATTACACTCGGTCAAGTTTCGGGGTTGACTATGTCAATGACCGATAGTTAACGAATTTGATGATATCTTCGGATAAGATAAGAGTCGATGATCAATCCGCTTTAGACATTTGAAGAAGTACTTTTCTGGTAAAATAAAAATAAAATAAAAATAAGTACAGAAAACATGTTTATGGATTACAGTGATTGATTACATAACGGTTTGCTTAACGTCTCGTGTCAATTCGTTCATGAATGTTCAGCACGAGAACAAAATAACAATAAATGAAATGGTATGATCTGAACGATCGATTAGGATGGAGAGCGAGAACTCTGGACTACCATAGAAGATGAGGGTGTAATGCTGGATAGTAATAGACAGTTTGCCTTGTAAAAGGGAGATAACGGTTCCCTAATAAAGTTGTTACAAGGGTGCTGTAAGGTGCAGTCAGCGCGGAACGTTTACACTCTTAGCATAGGATTAAACGTTCCCTTTACGACCGGTTGTGGCTTAGAAATTATACATCCCGTACACCTAAACAATTTAGTTGATAGAAGAACCCTACAAAACTGACCAAAATTCATCTTTTATATCGTATTTAAATGTTCCAAAACCAATCAAAGTCTTATACATGTACATGCATACGTGCACTTGCATAAGGTCGATTTCTATCTGACGCAGCTCAACTATGTTAAGGTAACACGATACCGAATGGCATATCTCCCGATTTCTAAAATTTTTGGTACACTGGTACTTTGAATCGAGTTACATCGGAATATGAAATAAAAAATGGGGGTCACCATTTTTGTTTTTTTGTAATTTTTGTTAGAAAACGTCAATTTTGGCGACAAATTTACCTAGTTATATAGGGAAAATGCCTTTTTTTAAACTTATTTCTTTAGATTTTTCAATGGATGGCTTCGTTCCAATATACGGAGAAAGACTAAAAACTAGCATAATATCCAGGATTGTATACTGAATCCATGCATGTATAGAAAAACATATGTCACCATCCTTGTTTTTTAGATAAATTGCTTCGAAGTTGACCGATACGCTTAGAATTTGACAGAAAACGTGTGACGTTCGACTGAGTTAATTTTATTTCGTCTTAACTGAGTGCACTTTAAGCTTTTCAAAACTGAATCGTCAACTTAACCCTACCAAACTAAACAATGGTGATGTCACCGATGTATCCATGCATGAATAAAATAAAGTGCTTCAAAAATTTGATTTGGTAAACAGTGATGTTGAGGTACAATTTGAATTGATTGATTGATGGTTTGCTTAACGTACGGTGGCAAATATTTCATGCATTTTCAGGACGATACAATACAATTTGAAATAGTTGTGTCTAAAAGACACATTTGGTGCAGCCGTCAAAAAAGGTTAAACATTCTGTTAGTTGTGTTAATTATAAAGAAAATCAACATCCTTATAAAATACACATTCTAAATATAGTATACTCTGTATGATGTAAACGTGTGGGTTGTGTGCGTAGTTAGTAGGACAAACCTTGCAAACTGTATGCAAAATTTCACATAAATAGACAAAGTTCAACCTTCTGTCGTTCGTGGAAAATTATTAAAAAAAAATGATCCTGAGAATATATATGCACCCTCAATATAGGTAAAAAAAACCTCGGCGCAATATATTATCAAAATGACAAATTCATCAACCTGTCATAAAAGAAAATAAAAAAATCTGACAAGATGCGCATCTTTAGTATATGTACTAACACCAGGTACATAATTTAAAAGTTTAAGCTTAAAAACTGTAGTCCGAAGAAATCAGCCGTATAAACCCTATATACCAAGTGCGGGACGGACTGTCGAACGGACACGAGTAAAACAATATGCTCCCAGTATTTTGTCAAGGGAGCAAAATATATATTAGCATATACGATTATGTTCTATTGTATAAATCATTTGGTGACAAAATATCTTTTTGAATAAGCATTTCATAGTGGAATGGTAATTGGGAGATCTCAAATGTAGCAACGTAAGCAAGCTAACATCTACGTCATTTGGTCTTTGATGGAAAGTTGTCTCATTGGCACTCATACCACATCTCCTTATTTCATAATGGTTTGAGTTTTCCTCTGAAATACAAGAAGTTTAAAGGCTAACAAATACGTACTAGGAGACTGAAATATGTTGCTGCTATAGTTAAAATCTGATTTTTGTTGTGAACATGTGATGTTATAATTTGATAGATTTAATACTTGCCAAACTAAATATACTTATTAACTTTCCAATTCGAGGGACTAACGAATCTTTACTAAAACTACAAATTAGCAGTAAAAAAATACTCGTTCATCCTACATTAGTCATGTGTTATTTAGATGTCTTTGGTTTGTGTGTCGTTAATCGGCCATTTGCTGTTTTTTTGTTTATCTTACATTTCCATTTATGCACACAAAGATATAACAACCCTTTTAATGTAAATAAACACTTGGTATACTTGTAAAAACTCCTTATAAGACTGCGAATATTCTCGGGCTTTTCTCGACGCCTATGTGAGCAATATGCCCATCCCCCCTTGAGAAAATAATTTATTTCAGAATGGAATTCATAGAAAAAAATATAACGGGATCTGAATGATTTTATTTTATTTCGTCCTAACCGAGTGCACATTTAGTGTTGACATCCCATATGTTTAAGCCTTTGCTAACTTTATCCTTATTCCGATGTAGCTGTCCTGTTTAGATTGTGCTTATAAGATTACAATGCTAGTAATATATTTTAAACAAGCTTCCGAAACCATATCGGATTTTTTCTGTACAGTCCAATAAACTTCAAAGACTGTTTACACGTGAAACATATGTAACGTTGTTCGGTCAAAATAGTCAAGTTCAACTAAAATTGAGAATGGAAATGGGGAATGTGTCAAAGAAACAACAACCCGACCATAGAGCAGACAACAGCCGAAGGCCACCAATGGGTCTTCAATGCAGCGAGAAACTCCCGCACCCTGAGGCGTCCTTCAGCTGGCTCCTAAACAAATATGTATACTAGTTCAGTGATAATGGACGTCATACTAAACTCCAAATTATACACAAGAAACTAAAATTAAAAATGATACAAGACTAACAAAGTCCAGAGGCTCCTGACTTGGGACAGGCGCAAAAATGCGGCGGGGTTAAACATGTTTTTTGAGATCTCAACCCTCCCCCAATACCTCTAGCCAATGCAGAAAAAACAAACGTACAACAATACGCACAGTAAAACTCAGTTTAAGAGAAGTCCGAGTCCGATGTCAGAATAGGAAACAAAAGAATATAAACAAAATGACAATAATACATAAACTACTCTTCTTTTTTCATTCCATGCCAACAAACCATTTTCTGTCTGAGTTTATACGTCTGCTTGTACGGTGCTTTTTTCGCTAAATTTTACCGGTATTCTTTTTCTAATAAATTTTCCTGGGAAACGGCATGCATCATTAATAAAATAAGAATGTATTGCAAAATTAAACCAACCCAGAATAAAAAGCTCAATCTGTTATGCATAAGAACACAGATAGATAAATCGTACAAATGCTTACATGTACTTGTCAATAGAACATTTAAAAAGTATATATTTAATTGTAAAGAATGAGAAGAAGAATGGGAGGAAGACGACGAAGCAATCAATGTCAAATAACGTATTGCATAAAATCCCTCGACACTCTGCATCTAGTAGATGCAAAGTTACTATTAAAAATATTTATTTATTTAAATTTCACATTAGTGTGATTTTTTCTTCTTCTCATTTTTGTTCTTTCATTTGAATCGCGTCTATGTAAATTTTGTTTTGTGATTGAATATGATACGTATAAAAAGCGTCGCTAAAATGAAGGTATTCTTAATATATATATATCAAATAAAGGAACATTTATCTTTCAACTATTTTATATCAGACTAATTTATCATGTACGTTTAATAATATTTTTGTTTTCTAAATAATTGATTTCTTTTTTGGGGGAATATAAAACAAAATTCCCTTGGAAGATGACCAAAACCATCATACGTCATACAAGAATTTTTCATCCCATATTTATGATAATATACGCGTTTCATAAAAAAATGACAACCTATATAAACCTAGCGATAAAACACAACAGGTAAAGTTACTACACCTATCAACATGTTACAATACTTTGTTTATTTCATTCTACAGATTGTTGTTCTACAAATACACGACATAGAGGTATGTAAACACATGCATTATACTAACAGAGAAAAGGGGTACACATAATGCGCAATGTGCTTAAAATGCAATTTTGAAATTTTGGAGTTAATAAATGAATGTGTACTTCTATTTATTTTTTTCTTCTTTTCAAAACATAAGATATGTATTTGAATTAAATCAAAGCAATCGGATTACGTATTAGATACAATACAAAGGTAACAAAGAAACAGGCCGGTAACAACCGTTGCCGGATAGTTTTTCTGCACGAGTAGTCAGGTGAAGGTCCGAGGCGATAGCCGAGGACCTTGACCTGACTACGAGTGCAGAAAAACTATTCGGCAGGTTGTTTCCGGCCTGTTTCTTTGTTACCTTTGTTTTGTATCTGACTTGTACGACGTTTCAAGAAAGAAGTAGTACATTTTGCATGTAGAAGCGGTATCAAAATTTAACAGATTCGAAACTTAAATGGCCATATACCACTTAATGTAAGTTACAGTAAGACAGTTTAAACAAACTTTTTTTTCACTTCACTTCAGTCTAAAGTTTTTTTCTAAAGAAAATCAAGAATCTAATAATTTCATAAAAAAGAACCATGTCAAGTAAAAGATGAATTTCGTACACATTTGAGACTTTTAAAAATGCATCTTCGCAAGTAAGTAATGTATGAAAAAGATTTCAGAGGTAAGCAAGCTAACACTTGATTTTTATTTGGGGGAACACGGAAAAGTCGGGGGGGGGGGGGTAATTTAAAATAAACAGGCTTGATTCTTTTTTGTTGAAATCATGTAGGATGTGTCATTGCATTCCCCCATTCCGCCTTAAAAAATAATAAAAATCGTACGTTTGCTCCCAAATATATAAATTCAATAACAATGTAAAAAGAATGAATTTCCTATTTCATTAGTGAATGAAATGGTACGAAAATATCGATTTTGTCTTGTTAAAATCACCCATATATAGGTATATATTTTGGATTTTTAAAAAAAAATTATGCTTATAGGTTTTTATATGTCTCTTATAGTGTTGGTCAGGATCAAACACGTGTCACAATATGATCCAATCGCAGCTTACCGTCCAAAATTGGTGACATAAGTTGAATGATTTTCTTCAAGATTTGCTGCCTATTTGAACACGGACACTTTTTATTTATAGGATCAATCGTGCATTGGTGAGTTGATAGGGATTTTATCTTTTGATTAGATTTGATTTTTTTTATATATATTTCCTGTCTTTTTTATTGAAATATAAATGTCGGTACCAGCATTTCTTTACTTTCAGCATTGTCCAGAATACTATTCATGTCCATATATTGAAAAAAAAAATACATTTACGGACCGACCATTTAGCCTCAAAAGGGGATATGTTTTTTTTCTGAGTAAGAAAATGATTTAGTTAATCAACGCTATCACCCAAATATTTTTTTTTCGAAATTAGCACTTTTATATACGGTATTCGGAAAATCAGGAATCAGAACATTATTTTGTCATCTGATTGACCACAATATATTTTTTTCTCATAAAATTGGGGATCAGAATATTTTTTTAGGAAAAAACATAACTCCACTTTTGAAGTTAAATGGTCAATCCCTTAGTGTACTGATATGAATAGTAATATACTGGAATTGTTGAAAAAAATATAGTTATTTATGCCAAAGTAAATATTTTAATGAAAAAGACAAGAAATATGTCGGTGAAACAAAAAGTTCAAATCTAATTGAAATTTAAAGTGCCCATGAACTCACTGATCATGCACGAGTGATTCTATTCACAAAAAGTGTCCGTGTAACAACTAAAAAGTGTCCGTGTATCATCTAAAAAGTGTCCGTGTAACACCCGTTAATGTACTGTTTTTCTATAGCTCTGCTGGGGGCAAAGTCGTACAATATCAAATAAAACAAAAAAACAATACAAATATATAACATTTACTAAAAACAAAAACAATTTTGTTTTCTTCAATACATGTATAGTTCCAAGAATTTATCAACATTGTCTTCGGCAGGAATGAATAGAGCTGGTAAAAATATTGAAGTATATAATTTCTTCTGGTTTGCATTTAAAAGTTTTATCAAATTTTCGGATTATGAAGTCGTGAGGAAAGAATGGCTAGGCATTTAATGAAAATGGGAAATGTCTTTGCTATCGTACGAAGTTGTTAAAAAAAAACATACAAAGATGTTAAGTTAAAATATTCCTTTCATTATCAAAACTACAAAATCATGCCCTAACGATTTTGCTTTGTTAAATTTGGACATTTACTGTACAATAATATCTACATTTGATAAATAATGGATGATTTATAGATCAATTAGGTATATTGTTTATTTACATTATAATGTTAGTAATGTAAAATTGTTAAGCTGTAAAATGTCCAGGTGCGGATACAGGATTTTGAAAAGGGGATGGGGCTGGGAAGCGAACTTTTGGAGTGATGCATTTAAAATGTCTATGGATTTATAACATATAAAGCTCCGTAAAGGGGGATGTCGGCCCCGCTGCCCAAAGATCAGCCTCTACTGCCCTCAAAATTGTTCACCGCATAGAAATGTTTGTTCAGAGGCGGAGTGTTTTGTAAATATAACTATTGTATTTGTAATCTCTTTTAAACGCACAAAACAAATTTAAACAAAACACAAGGTCCGGTTAGCCTGACTGTTTACTTAAACAAAAAATTCAGTTTAATCCACAATTTATAATCGAAAACAGTATAACACATTATTTAAATGTTGTTTTTTTTTTATTTCAGGGTCGATCTGAACCTATTCGAGGTAAGTGTATTTACTTTCTTCACCATTCAAACTTATTGAAGTTCGTTTTTTTCATCCTTAACAATATTTTGTATTCTTTAAAGCTGCGAACTATTTATCTTTTTGGAAATGAAGACATAGAGAAACAGTTAATATTTGGTACATGTAGTTTTCGGAAATTTAAGCTTCAATGATTAAAAGACGACAAATCACAAATGTTTAACAGACTTTTTTGTGTAAAGTGGACCCCTACATGTTCCGTAAAAACAATCAGAGGTTTAAATGCCATATCTTAACCTCTGAATGTCTTCGAGTGTTGACCGTTGTTTGGTTGATGTTTCATCTTACGTATACATCCACACCTCCCCTCCCCTTTTATTCACACCATAACTATAACTCCCACGGTCATCATTCTAGAAATTGACCTTTGAAAACCATATGCAATAGTTCCTTATTTAAATACATGTATACAAAATATATTTTCAGATCCCTGTTATCTTCCAAAAAAGACTGGGTTCTGCAGAGCAGCTTTCCGACGATATTTTTATGATGCAAGTACAGGAAAATGTAAAAGTTTTATCTATGGCGGATGTCGTGGAAATGAAAATAATTTCAAATCAGTTAAGGAATGTAAAAGGACTTGTGTAAACAAAGGTAGTTATATAGTTTGCATTAGTTTTATTTTCTATAAAGTTGTAAATTTGAAACAAGGAAAATATAGTCGCTGTAAATGAGACGACCAATCGTATACAATATAAGTAATACATTAGATATGAAAGTAACAGCTTAAGACAGATAGCCAATGACATAGAGGTCATTTCATCACACATTACCATAAATAATTCAAAAATAAACAATATTGGTATATAAGGAAAATGATAAATTATTCATCACGTGACAGTATAAACTTGAAGGTCACTGCACTTCCTTACTTTCCCAAATGAAAAATAAAAATAAAACTTTGACTGCACGGTAGATCCTAGGAGTTCCCAAAAACAATGAACGAGTGAAAAATGCAATCAAAACTGTTCGCAATTTTTTATTTGTTTTTGTAAAAAATTTAAATTAAATAAAATATGAGAATAATACCTAAGGGCAACATTAAATGAAAGAAAAAATATACGACACACGCATGCAGCTCTATATATAGAGACAACAGCAATCGGACATGCGTTTTTGAATAACTATATGATTTATCGCCACTTGAACGCCAGTACAAGACAGCACAGACGACCCCATTTAATATTGACTTTACTAACGACTTTTTCTGACTCCACAAAGCAAAAACATGATGACGGAAAAAAAGTACAGATTTGTATGGATTTAAAAATTAATAAATAAATGTTTCTCCGACATATTTCGTCAGAATTTTTAAGATTCGTTAACACAATACTTTTGTTCATGAATAAACATTTAAACAGGTTGAAAAGGCTGTAAAATACACGGAAACTATTTAATACATCCTGTATATCGATTGTAATGAAATCAATATACATTGAACTGTAACATCTGTTATCATGGTAACCTTTCAAAAATACAAAAATCATATTTCCTGGAATTCTAACAAATATATTTCACACCTTTTTCATCGATATCTTTAGTTTTATCGTAACATACATTTTATATTTCAAATGTCTTCCAATGTACATTTAAATATATCCTTTTTTATGCAGTTTACATTAAATAATTAAGAAATATGTTAACTGTTTGCAAGCACCCTTGAACATTGAATGAACTGGTTATTGTAAAATCACAATCATTAATGTTGATATGGTCATAGTGATAAATTAATTGTTTACAAAACTTTGAATTGTTCGGAATACTGACGATTTTTCTATTACAGGAATAGTTTACCTAATTGGTATTTGACATAGACGTTCGGAATGTTTGGTCCTCAACTTCGTACTGTATTTGACCCCTTAAGGGCATACGATACAGTTACAGGGGAGGTAATGACGTTTCTAACGTAAAATGTTATTTTTCACGACGTCAATCTGTGACATATCGGGAAAAGATGCATTTTAGACAAATTTTTATCATTCAAACTGACTTAACTTGAAAACGAGTTCATTGACCCCTCTTTTTAAAAATGACATTTGGCTTGATTATGCATGAAGATTAATTGTGGCGTTCTTTGACTAAAATCATGAAACGTGATAAAAATGAATAATTTTCAAAGAATTGTTACACAAATTCAAATAAAATTGAGAATGGAAATGGGGAATATGTTAAAGAGATAACAACCCGACCAAAGAGCAGACAACAGCCGAAGGCCACCAATGGGTCTTCAAATCAGCGAGAAAATCCCGCACCCGGAGGTGGTCCTCAGCTGACCTCTAAATAAAATTGTGTGCTAGTTCAGTGAAAATGGACGTCACACTAAACTCCAAAACATATAAATGAACTAAAATTAAAAAAACATACTAGACTAACAAAGGCCAGAAGCTCCTGACTTGGGACAGGCGCAAAAATGCGGCGGGGTTAAACAGCACACTTATGTAGAAAAGATATTCCCAATGCTTTTACAAAAATCCGCTTGCGTTTATCTTTTGAAACAAAAAAGTTACGTATGTCTTTCCAAAGGATAGAAATGTCAAAGAAACAGAAATTTCCAGTAAATGTCTATAAATTTCGACCCCATTTATTTCTAAAAGTAGCACATGAAGGTATATTTTTATTACATATTTGAACTGACTAGGTGAAAGACAGCTTGCACGCAAATTTTCGTCAAAAATTCACCGTATTTTCAAAACTGTATCGTATGCCCTTAACTTTTTTTCATATTCGAGCGTCACAAATGAGTCTTTTTGTAGACGATAGGCGCCGTCTGGCTTACACTATTATAAGGGGTGACCATTTCATTTTCTGGGGAGGGGGATTTTGAAAATGAATATTTTTTCAAGACATGATGAAAATGAATATTCTGCAACACAAAATGCAGGAAATGTATAAATTGAAAATAGATTTTTGCGCGGATGTATATCGGGAAACAAAATGTCCCTATGTAGAATACTTTTTAAGCAATGAAATGAAAAACAATAATATTATCAACACAAAATGAAAAGCCGCACAGCAACAGATGAAAAAAATAATAAATTAAATTAAATCATCCTCCCCGGAATACCAAACAGTCAACAAGTAAGCCTGGTATCTTTCAGGATTTTTTTTCTCTACAAAATTACCTGTTTTATGGGCTGGTCGGGCGAGGTCAGTGGAAAGGCGGCTTCATGTGGTGTAAAGGGCGCATCTCTTTGATCGAAAACACGGAACCATCCAAAATGTTTTTTTCTATATACCTTTGTCGGGAATTATGTCCCTAATTTCGACATTCCTGGTTTTAATTGTAATATTGTAATCAACCTTACCCAAAAGCACAATACCTTAACAAATTTTGAAATAAAAAAAAACAAACAACATTATCTATAATTACAGATATAGTAGATCCGATTCGTCCTATTGACTGTGGACCAGTTTGTGCGATCTTCTGTATCAATGGAAACGTTATTGACGCACGTGGATGTCCAACATGCCAATGTAGATGTAAGTAATATATGTATAGTTATAGTTATAAGATAATGCGATACCAAAACTACCTGGATGCACAAATGTTTTCATCGTAAGTGCTTCTAGAAATGACACCAGTTACCCGAAATTAGCAAAATATTGTAAAGTTATGACACGAGGGACACGCAAACCAGCTTAGATACATCTTCTCCTTTTGGTGATATGGTAATTTGGTTGAAACGTGTATGTTTAATTGTGTCAATTTTTCTCATTATGTAATATGGCTTTGTATCAATCTGATGAGTTAAGCCCTTTTGTAACTTTTGTTTATAGTTTGTTCTTATGTTGTGCTGTTACACCACTGTCCCAGAATAGGGGAGGGTTGAGCACTCACAAACATGTTTAACACCCGCCACATTCTTTATGTGCCAATCCCAAGTCAAGAGCCTGTAGTTCAGTGGTTGTTGTTGGTTCATGTCTGCATAATTTATTTTTCGTAAACCTTTTTTGTTATAAATTAGGCCGCTGGATTCTCTCACTTGAATTGTTTCATATTTTTCATGTCGGGGCAATTCATAGCCGACTATTCGGTATGGGTTTTTCACATTGTTGAAGACCGTCCGGATGCCTATAATTGCTATAACATCCACTTCATTTTAACTTTGGTGGATAGTTATCTCATTCGCAATCATACATTGTACCACATCTCCTTATTTCTATATTGAAACGTGTATTTTTTAGTGTGTTATTTCTTCTTTTTATGGTAATACGGTTCAAACGTCTATGTTTAAGTGTGTCATTCGCCTCATTATTTATGGTAATATGTTGGAAACGCGTATATTTTAGTGTACTATTCGCCTCATTATTTTCGGAAATATTGTTGAAACGTGCATGTTTGAGTATATCATTTGCTCTCATTATGCAAATATGGTTGACCCGTGTAAGTTTAAGTGTGTCACTTTTCTCATTATGTTATATGATTGAAGCATGTATGTTAAAGTGTGTTATTCGCCTCATTATTTATGGTAATATGGTTGAAACGTGTATGTTATAGTGTGTCATTCGCCTCATTATATATGGTAATATGGTAGAAACGTGTATGTTATAGTGTGTCATTCGTGTTAGATACAATACAAAGGTAACAAAGAAACAGGCCGGTAACAACCGTTGCCGGATAGTTTTTCTGCACGAGTAGCCAGGTGAAGGTCCGAGGCGATAGCCGAGGACCTTGACCTGACTACAAGTGCAGAAACACTATACGGCTGTTTGTTTCCTGGCCTGTTTTTTTTGTTACCTTTGTTTTGTATCTGATTTGTACGACGTTTCAAGAAAGAAGTAGTACATTTTGCATTTAGAAGAGGTAGCGAAATTAAACAGATTAGAAACTTAAATGGCCATATACCAGTTAATATAAGTTACAGTTTAAACAAAATTTTTTTCACTTCCCTTCAGCCGAGTGTTTTTTTCTCTCAAGAAATTCAAGAATCTAACAATTTGCTAAAAAAAAAGAACCATGTCAAGTAAAAGGTGAATGTCGTACACATTTAAGACTTTTTTGAAAAGCAACTTCGCAAGTTATTAATGTATGAAAAGGATTTCAGTGGTGTACAAGCTAACATTTGATTTTTATTTGGGGAAAAACGGAAAAAAAAGGGGGGGGGGGTAAAATAAATTTAAAATAAACAGGCTTGATCCTTTTTTTGTTGAAAAATGTAGGATGTGCCATTCCATTCCCCCATTCCCCCTTAAAGAATAATAAAAGTTGTACGTTTGCTCCTAAATATATGAATTCAATAACAATATAAATGTATAAAAAGAATGAATTTTCTATTTCATTAGCGAATGAAATGTTATGAAAAAAATTATTTCGTCTTGTTATTAGATATATATATAGGCATATATTTTGGATTTTTTTTTAATTGTTCATGCTTATAGGTTTTTATATGTCTCTAATAGGGTTGATCAGGATTAAACACGTGTCACAATATGATCAATTTGCAGCTTACCGTTCAAAATTGGTGACATAAGTTGAATGATTTTTATTCAAGATTTGCTGCTTATTTGAACATGTATTACACGGACGCTTTTTATTAATAGGATCAATCGTGCTTTGGTGAGTTGATAGGGATTTTATCTTTTGATTAGATTTGATTTTTTTATATATATATTTCCTGTCTTTTTTTATTGAAATATTAACGTCGGTACCAGCATTTCTTTACTTTCAGCATTGTCCAGAAAACTATTTATGTCCATATATTGAAAAAAAAAAAACATTTACGGACCGACCATTTAGCTTCAAAAAAAGGGGGTATGTTTTTTTCTGAGTAAGAAAATTATTAAGTTTTTCAACGCTATCACCCAGATATTTTTTTTTATGAAAAAAATACTACTACATGTATATACGGTATTCAGAAAATCAGGAATCAGAACGTTATTTTGTCATCTGCTTGACCACAATACATTTTTTCTCATAAAATTGTGGATCAGAATATTTTTTTAGGAAAAAACCATAACCCCCATTTTGATGTTAAATGGTCAATCCCTTAGTGTACTGAAATGAATAGTAATACACTGGAATTGTTTGAAAAAAAATATAGTTATTGATGCTAACGTAAATATTTTAATAAAAAAAGACAGAAAATATGTCGGTGAAACAAAAAGTTCAAATCTTAGTGAAATTTAAAGTGCCCATGAACACATTGATCATGCACGAGTGATTCTATTCATAAAAAGTGTCCGTGTAACAACTAAAATGTGTCCGTGTATCATCTAAAAAGTATCCGTGTAACACCCGTTAATGTACTGTTTTTCTATAGCTCTGCTGGGGGCAAAGTCGTTCAAGCCTCATCATTTATGGTAATATGGTTTAAACGCGTATATTTTAGTGTGTCATTTGCCTCATTATTTATGGTTATATGGTTGAAACGTGTATAAAAGTTTGTGCCATTTTGGTCTCATTATGGTTATGTGGTTGAAACGTGTGTGTATAAATGTGGCATTCGCTTTGAGCAAACTGGTGGTGCATGCATCGCGGATTATCTTTACCCTGTAGAGATACATAATCTCAGTATGCTTTGACTTAATTAGTAATACTATTGTACTATAATATGACAGAACACATGTATTACTATTGTATTAGAATATGAAAAAACACATGTATTACGATACAATAATTACAATAATGGTTACGTTTTCTTAGAGCCGCTCTTTTAGGTCTACGTAATTATGAATGTTCCATCGTGTATATTCTGTAATGGTTTTTTTTACAGCGTCACCACCTGTAGAAAGGAGATGTCCAAGAAATTCGAGGTCAAACATAGGATGTCCTATAATGAAAAATCCTGAATGTGATAGGGACCGTGACTGTCCGAGAAGAGGAAGATGCTGTACTTTTGGTTGTAGTAAACGGTGTATCAATTCTTATTATAAACCACCGATCAGGCTTCATTAAAAACATAATTTCAAATCTTTGTTTTTATTGTAAAAGTATATGTTAACATTAAGGTTAACAATTTAAACTATAGAGAACAGTTGGTATTCAAGAGTGTTCAGTCCAAATTTTGATCTAATATCATCGTATGCGCGTTTCATGTGCATGGTCACCAGTTGGTTGACATTTGCATTTGTACATACTGATAACTGGAAACTTTATAACACAACTCATTATATGTTGTACGTGTACCCTTAATGTAGCAGAACCTGCTTACTCTTCCGGGGGACCTTCAAATTCGGTATTTATTTGGGTTCGTGTTATTTCATCTTATTTTCTTCTGTGAAGCGCATGGCGTGGTGATGGTTTTTTTATTGTGTCGTTTTATTTTCTTCTTTTAGCCATCATGATGTCTGTTTTTATTTGACTTTTGATTATCCCCTTGATATATTTTATTTCTTCTTTTGTTGAAGAAACCGATATTGAGATCGCAATGTCGGTGTCAGCTGAAATCTGAAGCTGCTAAAGTTTCCTAACGATAGTTTTGAAGTCTGCAGCACTCCTTGATACTATCAATAACTGTCGCATATGAAATTTCTCTCCGATTCAGTACCATTATAATCACAGGCAGTGAAATATCGGCATATCGAATTGTTGTTCAAACTTCCCAAATGTCTATAGATTTTCTGAATATGAACAAAAAAGGAGATGTGCTGTTTGAGTTAACGATACAACAAATAAAAACCACAAAGACATCAAGAAGTCAACTAATAATCGTCAACAATAGACAGACCAGAGGCGTAGTTTCAAGTGAGACAGTGAAACAACAGCCTAACTGGATTTTGTCTTAGAAAAAGTAGAAATAATCAAAAGAGATAGCTTCAGTATAGAGTAGACTATATAAGTAAAGATTATAAGATGGTTTCAACCATTGGACCTCTTTACCCTTTACACACGTATTCCTCATTTGTAAACTAGTTAAATGATTAGTACAACTTTGTCTCATGGAAATGACCAATGTAGAAATAAATATATTCCTTTCAGCCTGGATATGTTTTTTTAACCAAGCTATTGCATTCAAATGTATTGATTTAAAGCACGTTTGAAAATGCCATTATTTTATGATAAAGATTTCCCCCAAAAAAAACCAAAAAACAAAAACAAAACAAACCCAATACAATACAATAAATAAAACAGCCAACTTAACAAAATAAAAATTTTAAAGAGAGGGAGAATGAGAAAAACAACTAAATGAATAAAAACTCCTCTTTGTCAATTTATAATTCTATACAACATCAAAGATATAATTAGGAATAAAAATAAATACCGAGTTCATTTATTTATACCCAACATAAAATGACCCAAATTGTGCCCAGGAGTATAGAAATTTGGTATTGCATAGGATGACCGTCTAAAAGTAAAGAAGTTAAGAGAGGAATTTGCTTGGTTGTATAAATACGAAGTCACATTCAGTTGAAAAGGGAACGTTTAATGCGATACATCGTGTAGGAAGATCTAAAGTGACACTCTGCACATTAAAGATCCCTTTAAACCACTTTTCAGGAGACTGTAGCCTGTTAGATGGCAAAGTTTTTTTCCGCGTTGAATTCGAAATTGCTGCCCTTTTATCATGTTCATCGTAGTCGACCAACTCTATTGGATTATTGTTAATTTGTTCTCGTCCTGACAATTCTTTAAATATTCATCACTGCGCGAACAGCAAAATGTAATCTATCAATCCAATAAGCTACCAAATCTAAAACCGCATTCTATAAACCATGCTGAGGTCTTGACTCCAACACGAGTTTCCCTCACTGGAAAAAACGATCAAGCTACGCCACTGCAGATATAACTTATAAAAGTTGCATGCATTAAATCGACCCAAGTCTATAAAAGCTGATAAAAACAAAAATAATTAAAGATTTTGTATAAACTGAAGTATTTTGCGTATCTTTTACCAGGGACAAAAGAAAATTTCGACCAGTTATTTCACCGTCTCTTCAAGGAACAAAGAGGTAGTGCCAACTCACCTGAATTTATTTCACAGGAGGTATGTTTTTATAAAGTCTTTCAATCTTTTCTTCAATTCATAGTAAACATGGTAAAGTATACGTAATAAAGGGTGATAGATGTTTTTCCCAACACATCGCCTCTTTTTACCCTTTTAAATAAATAAATACAAAAATCTAATTCAATTACTGTTAAATGTGTTTCTCTTTGATTAAGTTTATAAACATGTGTAATTGTTTTAAAAAAATAAAAAGGTTATACCTACATCAAGTTGAACTTTGACATTTTTGGCTGATTTATTTTATGTTTTTTTTTTTTGTCTTTTTGTACGTTTTAAACATATATTTTTTTCCAAACGTGTTACTTAAAGCGAACGTTATGAAGGTTATTAAGGGAAAAAGTGTGCGGACAAAAATTACAGTATACGTTATATTATTCATAAAGCTAATAAATTTTGGAATTGTGTCCTTTACACTATTTTCTTTGATTTTCTAGACGTATTTTTTTATTGCTCATGATTTACTTAGCATACCGACGTGTGTTTTCGGAAGGAAAATCAATTCGCAAATCTAACTTTTAATATTCTGCATTTACATTTATTTTCCCATGGTAGTCTACATTTCCACGATTCTTCCAAACATAACATGAGTATATTCGTTTTATATATAATCTTTTTTTCAAACTATTTGTCGATGTTTCTAAATATTGTCATACTTCTAATCATTTTTTAGATCATTACATAATTTTAATCAATCGTCATTAAGTTGAAGTTGACACAAGATGAATGAATAACTAAGGCCATGAACAAACGTGTTATACATAGGAACGTAATATAAATCGTTTGAACGTTTTAAAATTCAACCAGATACATGTTTTAAAGAGAGTAAAAAAAAAATCAAAGTCTAATAATATCCACGTAGCCGAAATCCTCTGACAACAAGGTTAAATACACGAAGAAACTGATAATCTGGTACTTCAACTACTTTCAAAATCTGTAAGAGTGTTATATAATGTTACATGTTTGTTGTACGGTGTATAAATGCATGGAACAATAGACTTTACTCTCAATACGTTTTGTTTGTTTTGTTAATTTTACTATATGTTATGGTCTAGCTGGTCTCTTTATTTTTTATAACGAATTGAAAAGTTATATTACTTATTTGAATAACAAAAAAATACCAAACAGGTGTTTCCTAAATGTCATTGATGCGTGTAAACGTCACATATAATTAGTAATATGAGAGAAACACGGATTGTTCTTGGAATTGGAGTGGTTATAAATACATATGCTAGTTTTGTTGTTTTTTTTTTGGCATATAATGTAACATAATCATTGTGTTTAATAATGATTCTAAAAAATATATAAAGAATATTTATAACCAAGATTCATAGAAATTCCAAACTAATATTAGTCATTGCATCACATGTTATGTCATGACGTTTAAATCTTAATCTAATATAAATTTCACAAAATAAAAGGAATCTTCTATGAAGAACATAAAACGACATTAGAGTGAAGGAATGCGTGATATCTCATCACCTGCAAAATCATTTTAATAGGGATAAAACGAGATGTGTATTAGATACATTTAACAGAAGCAATCAAATGTCTGCAATCAATACTCATTCCTGAAATGATGAAAAATATTAAGAAATGATATGCGACAACTGATGGTAATGTTCTAGGTGTCAATGGGGCTATTCTATACAGAATTAAGAAACATGATATCGTGCAATGTTATTGGTTGAAAACACGTTACTATATTCATACGAAAAAATGCCTAGGCTTTGTCAGTGAGTGTATTAATATGTAACTTCAAAAGACAAGCCATCAACATCAAACTGTAAAATAACAATGAGAAACTTGTTCAATTATAATTCAGAAAGATCACATTGTAATATGCCTTTGATAGATTTGCTTACAAGAACAGAAAAACAACTCGTTTTATTGTATAGCAACAACATATTTTATACAGAACGTATTATACTTTACAAATTTAATTGCACGAGAAATGTCTAAAATTCAAAATTAAAGCACCCACTATTAATTTAGTAATTCATATCTGTAACTAATTTTTTCAACATATATACAAAGTACATCGTTATCTAAAACATATTTCAAAATTTGCTCTGGGTTCAATCTCTTGATTATGTAGAAGCTTTAGTCAAAGTATTGTAAAATTCCATGAAGGTTTGTCAAAATTATTCAAAATATTTCACAATAGACTATACATAAAAAATTGACTGCCAAAAAACAATTTATTTGTAAACTACGAAAGAATGGGTGGAAAATTAAAATTTTAATCTACATATCAGGTATTTATTGAGTATGAAGAATCTTCTTTAAAAGTTTCATGAAAATGGAGGTTTGAGAAAGATTATTGATATTTTGTTAACTTTAACCCTAAACTGTATCTAAATGTTTATTCAACAAAAATAGTTCTAATCATCAGCAAATTCAGAAAAGTTAAAATAAAAAAAAAAAAATTAAAAAAAATTTATTCTTAAGTTGCCATTTTTCAGTCATGATGAAAATTCTGTCCCTGTTCATAAAATTCCATCAAGTTATTTATGTTTGGAAACTTTAACCCAAGACTAAATCTAAATATTAACTTAAAAAAAAAGCCAATTGTACATTTTGTAATAGAGAAATTGAAACATTAGAACATTTATTTTGGGAATGTGAACATACACAATTATTATTAGAACAGATTGAAAATTGGTTTCTGACCAATGGAATTAGTGTACCATTTACAAAATAAATTTTTTTGTTTGGTAACATTGACAAATATCAAAAGGCAATGCAGAAAATACTCTTTTTCTTACCATAAAGCTTGTTTATAATAAATTATGTTTATAATACCAGATGCTTAAAAAAAAAACTGTCAATAAACTCAGTAAAAGAGAAAATGAAATATGTTTACGCAATTGACAAACATATTGCTATGTAAAACAAATGTGAACATCAGTTTCTCAGAGAATGGAATATTTTTGATAGATTACTTAGTTAAGTACAAAAATGTATA